ATAAAATCAGGTGTATTTGTGCATTTTTGAGGTAACCACAGAGCAGAGTAAAAAGCCTGGAGGCGTTAACAGCATGGAGCAGCACAGAGAGATCCCTTATGTGAAATCCAGTGTTCATATATCACAATTAGAAGCAGAGAAAATGAAAGAAAAAGAAAAGGAAGAAGAGTGTGCTTTTTACTTTGGAAAGACTGTTCCTTGTGTTTCCTGCAATGAAATAATTGATTATCGGCCATTTTCAATCTTTTTTTGGCCATGTGGCCCCCAATGAGAGCCCCACTCTTTTCAAATCTGGGAAAGGTGGAGGTAGAAAGGATGGAAAGTGAAGAGCAGCAGTTGGTTGTCTGAGGAACTGGACTTGTCCACAAAAGCTCACATTAAAATATAATACAGTAGTTAGTCTTTAAGGTGCTGTAACATCTTTGTCTTATTTAATTTTTATTTTTGTTTTTACCTGAAAACCAGCAGGCTCCCTGCTTTGCCCTTTTTTAGAAAGAACCAAAGCCAACTGTACTCTGTGTGCTTTTAAAGTTCCTCCCTCCCTCTCTCCTATCCCAATAGCTCTCCTGCCCTAGGAAGCTGAGACTTTCTCCTGACAACTGGGGGTGAGAGATAGAAATAAGCACAGCACCTACAGTAGCTCTGTAGATTGTTGCTGTTGTCTTTCTGTCCTTTCCGCACCATTCAGTCTATGATGTGGACTTGCTCTCTACATATTCCTTGCACAGGAATGGGGTCTTTATGGAGAACTGGAAATGCACAAATACCACCAGGGACCCCAAGCAAAGATCAGGTTTGAGTGTTACCAGAACAGCACAGAGGGTGGATTAGCTCAGAATTGTGTGCCCTTTATTCAGGCATGGCCAAGGCTGGTTGGTTTGTGTGCATCAGAAACCTAAATTGCAAGAAAAAATGAAGGGTATGCATTGTTCCGCCAGGATTAATATGTGATTCTTACCACACATAGACCCACAAGGCTTCTTAGTCCAAATGTGCAGAAATAGCGTGGAGTGCACTTTTCCAGACAGGACAACTTCGAAGTCCTTGTGGAGAACCAAGATATCTGAATATCCCACCATATTAAAAACGTATGTCCTGTATGTTGCCTGCTAACGAAAAGCTAGCAACACAGGGGAAAGCTTCAGACAATAAATATTTCTTTGGTATCAGCTTTCTATGTGCAGTGATCTTTCTTAAGATGAGAAACATTCCAACCCACATTCTCTCATTTGCATCAAAAAGTCATCTGGTCCAGAAAGGACTGTGGCGCAAAGGGTTTCTGAATATCCAACTTGGGTCTTAAATGATTGTGGGGTCTTTCAAAAGCCCTTTTCGTGGTAGTCCTGTTAGCTCCAGCTCTATCTGCAGTTCAACCATACCTTGTGTTTGAAAAGCACAAAGTTAAGAGGCAAGATTTATGTCCCCATTAAAGGCATATGCTGAGCTTTTTAAAGACTGATTTGATTAGCTCAGTGACACGGAAGCGCCTGCTCCTAACTTCACTGCTTTTATCTATCTCTGTCAGCATTTGCCTCTTCAACAGGCAGGGTTCAAATAATGCACATCTTGAAAACTTAACTTTCTTCTCCATATAAGACAGACAACCAATTAATCCTCTGTGATATAATGAATATAGTCCAGCCTTCAGTAAACATACTGTATTTGATACACCAGCATTTCCTAAAGCTTTGTTTATTAACAGTGAAATTTCAGTTGACCCACTATGGGATGGTAGGCATTTTGTCTCAACGTAACTGAAGACTAGCTGCCTGAAGTGGTCTCCTTTGGTGTGTTTGGGCCACAAGGAGCAAGATTGGTAAAAACTGAGCTTTCAACAGATGTTACCTCACTTTTGAGAGCCAGTGTGGTGTAGTGGATAGAGTGACAGACTAGGACTTAGGCAACCTCGGTTCAAAACCCCACTTGGCCATGGTGTCAGGTCGGAAGTCCAACATTTGAATATCTACTGTAAGGGCTAATTTATGACTGTTAGAGGTACTCCCACCGATTTCGGAATTGGAAACAGAAGTGAAAAATGCAGTGAAAACCATAAGATTTATAGCATTTATTGGGAATGAGAATGTTACCTCAATTTCCAGTCATTTGGGGAATGCTGAAAACATTAATAAAAGATTATGGCTTGAAATTAGCTATATAGAGACAATGGGAACTCACATGGGGTGGTAATGGTAAAAGCACTCCTGTAAATATCTCTCCTACCTTGAAAATCTTATTAGGGTCATTGTGTCTCCTTGTCAGGGGCTGGACTCAGTGATCCATAGGGTCCCTTCCAGCTCTACAGTTCTAAAATTATTATAAATCAGATGCAACTTGGAGGTACATAACAACATGTCACCTTTACTGGGAAGTAGTGGGTGGACAAGCCAAAAACATGTTAGCTGCACTCACACGCAATAGTTGGTTAAGCACAAGAGCTGGGAAATCTGTAGCCCTCCCAGTGTTTCTAGTCTATGACTCCCACCAGTCCTGATTGTTGGCACTGCTAGTTGTGAATTAATTAAAGCCTCTGAGCTGGCTGGATAGCTCAGAGAATCTGGTAACAAGCTACGGAGCTAGAGATTGGGAGTTTGGTGTTTCCCCCACCCCACCCCTCCCTGTGCTTCCCAAGAGAAGAAGCAGCCTGTATAGCCTTGGGCAAGCTGCATGGTCTAGAAGGAAGAAATAGTAAACTTCTTCTAAGCTCTCCCTAGAAAGGGTCACCAGACGTGAGAACTGTCTTGAGGGCATGCAATTATTATTAATCCACTCACTCTTATCAGCAGTTCTCAGGGTGGAGTACCATCAATAAACTCACCTTGAGACAATTGAAATAAATTCAAACCTTTTAAAACAACTTCAAATAGTTGTTGTGGGTTTTTCGGGCTCTTTGGCTGTGTTCTAGAGGTTGTTGTTCCTGACGCTTCGCCACCCACAACAACCATCAGATCCCGGCCGTGAAAGCGTACAACTTCAAATACTTTGAAATACGTCAAGGCAATTCAACAGTTCAAAAATAAAAATAAAAATCCAGCAATATGATGGATTGGAAACCATGTCATCTTACTAGGCCCTGAATATTGGGTGAACAGCCAGATTTAATTTGGTAACAAAGTAAGGGCAACGTTGGTGACAGGCAGGCCTCCCGGACCCGGTTGGGGGTGTTCCGTAACCAGGTTGCTAAAACTAGGAAAGCCCACCTCCACCTGGTACACTTCTCCCAGGCAGAAACTGCCTGCTCCTCAGAGCCAAGTGATGAAAAGGCAGCTCCTTTTTCCCCTTCGAAGGATGCCTAGAGGGAGGTGTTCCTCAAATACAGTATCTAGGTCTTAGTTAGTGTAATGCCTGAATGTAAGGCTACTGTTAATCAGATGTACGTAGTTTATTTCCAGTTTCATGAAGTTACTGATTCAACAAAATATAGTTAAAATTAAGCACAGTTTGATGGTTCACGTGTAATGCTCAAACTGAACTAGTGATATTTTTTGTTGTTCTTGTTGTTATCATCCATTGAGGAGATTCTGTTATTGTAGGCTGTCTGCCTTCCTATTCCTGAGGATCAGGATGAGTCATGAGGATGTTGTTTCCGTCTCCTGCTCCTAAAATATCTCAGAATAATGACAAGACACTTCTCTCTCTCTCTCTCTCTCTCTCTCTCTCTCTCTCTCTCTCTCTCTCTCTCTCGTTTTCTCGCTTGCTCGCTCCCTCTCTTTTAACTAGGCTTTAGCACAGTTGGATTTCAAGTCTTTTTAGATTTTCAAGACTGATTTTGCAGAATTCACAGATGATGTCTGTATGAATTGATTTGTTAAAATATTTTGCTTGTTGGGCAGCAGAGAACAAATTCAATGAATGGATTCATTTCTCCTCCCTATTAGGCTGGCTACAAACCAGCAATGAGCGATACATATAGCCAGTATGCCAATGTCTAGAATGACTGGCACCCTGCCTGCAGTGGGAGTTATGCTTCCCCTTGATACACATGTTGTGACAGTGTCAGTACTGATCTGTCACCTACTGTGAATATTTGGGCGTAGGGAATCAATAGACAAACATTTTGAATTGGGCTGAGTGCTTACCAAAGCAAGTTATTTGAAGACAGGCGGATAAACTCACAGGCTCCAGTTTGGCAAGAATTCATTTGACTGCCATTACAAAGACGGCAGCTGCAGCTGGCATTGCACAGAGACTTCTGAGAAATTTCCTGTGTTCAGTGTAAAAATACACATAAAGAAGATCTCTGCTTGGGTAGTCACTAGCTTAGAGCAGGCTTGGTTGGTTTGGTTTGTGTCATCTTATATTTCCTTGACCTGGTGTCTGCTTCCTCCCCTCGCTGCCCTCCTTCCTCTTCCTGTTCATGTCACAAGAGAGTTATGATGGCATTTCTTACTTAGCTGTTTTTCAACTGCAGTGCTGCACAGGCCTATCCTTACTATCATTCCCTCAGGGATGATGCTACCAAGAGTTATAGAGCCACTGGTCCCATGGCCATCCCTGACCTAGGTAAAGGTAAAGTTCCCCTTGACATTTTTAGTCTAGTCGTGTCCGACTCTAGGGGTCGGTGCTCATCCCATTTTCAAGCCGTAGAGCCAGCGCTTGTCCGAAGACAATTTCCATTGCCACGTGGCCAGCATGACTAGGGAACGCCGTTTTACTTTCCCACCATGGTCATGTGGCCAGTGTGACTAGACATGGAACATTACCTTCCCACTGAGGTGGTACCTATTTATCTACTCGCATTTGCATGCTTTCGAACTGCTAGGTTGGCAGGAACTGCGATAAGTGACGGGAGCTCACTCCGTCGCCTGGATTCGATCTTGTGACAGCTGGTCTTCGGACCTTGCAGCACAGGCTTCTGCGGGTTAGCCCACTGCGCCACCACATCCCTTATCCCTGACCTAGCAGCAAGTAAAGCAGTGAAGCTGTGTGGGAACTGTGATACTAACTGGCTGATATCTGAATCTTTTTTTGTTTGGTCTCCCTTCCCTTTATCTCTCTTTCAGGACCCTTAGAACCCACCTTTCCTCACCTAAGTGATGGAGCCTCGGATGCCACACCACCTGACTCTGGTTCCCAGTTCCACCATGGTCCAACCTCTCCTGGACAGTCGTGTCCCATATGGCCGGCTGCAGCATCCTCTGACCATCCTTCCAATTGACCAAATGAAGACCACACACGTGGAGAATGACTACATTGACAATCCCACCCTGGTTCAGTTGGCTGCTCAGAAATCCCAGCCAAGCCACCCAGAAGCCACCCACCACCCGCCGCGGTGTGAGCCAGATGTCACCCACCCCTGGATCTCTTTCAGTGGCCGACCCAGCTCTGTCAGCAGCAGCAGTAGCACCTCGTCTGATCAGCGGCTCTTGGATCACATGGTGCCAGCCCCGGTGGTGGAGCAGTCCTCGTCCTCCTCTTCCTCCTCCTCCTCTTCCCCAAGGGCAGTCCGCATCCAGCCCAAAGCGATGAACTGCAAGTCCCTGGACCTGAAGGGACCCGTCCCTTTGGAGCTGGACAAGCACTTTTTGCTGTGCGAAGCCTGTGGGAAGTGCAAGTGCAAGGAGTGTGCCCTGCCCAGGACTTTGCCCTCCTGCTGGGTGTGCAACCAGGAGTGCCTCTGCTCAGCACAGAACCTGGTCAATTACTCCACCTGCATGTGTCTCGTGAAGGGCATCTTCTACCACTGCACGAACGAGGACGACGAGGGCTCCTGCGCTGACCACCCTTGCTCCTGTTCCCATTCAAACTGCTGTGCCCGCTGGTCTTTCATGGGCGCCCTCTCTCTTCTCTTGCCCTGCTTGCTGTGTTACTTGCCGGCCACCGGCTGTGTGAAGCTGTCACAGCGCTGCTACGACCAAGTGAGTCGGCCTGGATGCCGGTGTAAAAATACAAACAGTGTGATTTGTAAAGCTTCCCCTGAGGGGAAGATCAGCAGCAGACCAGAGAAGCCATTTTGATCTCCGGGGTGGGGGGGGGAGATACAGCAGGTGGGGAGCACAGAAACAAAGGACAGGAAGCGAGTTTCATAACCTGTGTTGCAAGCGAAACACACGGGGATCAGCCTTTTTGCTTTTGACGAACAAAGAAAAGAAATGATCTCTTTCCAGGAACTGAAGCACTTTGGAGCATTCAGAATTGCGACGGCAGTGTGATCCATAGTCACAGAGCAGAGTACAGAAGAAGGTTCTGATCTTCTGCAAAGCAAAGGCAGAAATCCACTATATAGGGCAATTTGGAAGACTTTTTCTCCTCCTTCTGGGTCTTCATGTTGGGTGTTGGCTAAGTCTTCAGACTGCAAGAATAGTTAACCAATAGGCTTGGCAAGTTCATCTAGCAAGAATATGGACTGTTATTCGGTGAAGGAAATCCAGTTCTAGGGGCCCCTTCCCTTAGTTTTTATTTATTGTTGATAGGCAGGAAGGGTTGGGTTTTCTGCCCTTTAAGAGAAGTTGCCTGCACCTCATCCTCTTTAAAATAATAAATAAAAAATACCTTTCAGTATATTACAGAAGTTCTTTTCAGTTGCAGCACCTTGACATATGGAGATCAGCACCCTCAGTGGCACAGATACAGGATCCAAAAAGTGGGCAGCCTTGCCAGTCTCCCCCACCCCCAACACATCGTTTTGTTTTGTATACAAAAATATAGCCGAATGGGTGTAAAGGCATGATCTATTACACTCTCACATCATAGAATTATAGAATAATGGGGGTTGGGTTGGCCTATAAGGCCATCAAGTCCAACCCTGTGCTCAATGCAGTAATCCAAATCCTGAGGTAATTGATTCCATTTTTATACTGCTCTAACGGTTAAGAAGTTTTTGTCAATATTCAAGGCAGAGTTAGTTGGGGATAATGCCATTTGCTCCCTGTTCCAAAATTGCTAATGGCAGCTGTGTTTGGGAGATAAGTCCCTTTTTAGCAACACAGTCAAGATGGTACTGGTTCTGAGCACACCTTTAACATCAGCACATTCTACTGCTTGGCCAAGTGGCATACTCAGGTTTACCACACAAGCAAGGCAAAAAAAAAGGGGGGGGTTTGAGATATGTCTAAAACAAAAGTTACATTTTCAGACCATTTCCAGCTGTCCCCAGGTAGTCTGGATATCAGCCATTTTGTCTAGAGGATTCCAGGAGCTGCAGTCTAAAAAAAAAAACACAACTTTCTCAAACTCTGGTCTCAAAGGCACCAATCTTACAAAAGCTTCTGTATTAAATTAAGGAAGCCCCACTTTGAAATGAGTGATACTTAATTAAATTAAGCTACAAATGTATTTGAAGTTAAGCTCTTTAACAAACAAACAAAAGAACCACACTCTTTTCCTCATCTTCCACTTCAGTGGGTCAATCCAAACTGAGTACAACATATTGGGATGTATGCTGGTTTTGTGTTTTGTTTTGTTTTGAAATAGGCATCAGTGCAACCCCAGACTCCCTGTTTGGGGCAGAATGGCATATGCTCAGTATTTTGATTCTTTTATTGTTGCTGCTGAACTTTCTTTGTAAATATTGAGAAATTTCCAAAATGGCTGTTTTAGCGCCAAGTACTTGTGGCAGGAGAAACTGAACGAGCATGCTTAGTACCAGTTACCAAACATTGTCAACAAGCAACTCTGCCTAGGTCCCGCCGTTCCTTTAGACTAGGCCTCCCCTAGTGGGCAGCCTCTTTGCTGTGTTGGGCCAGAATCGGTCGTCCCAGCCACCACAGCCCTTGGTCATTGCAGCTGGGCAGCCCAACTCCTCTAGAGAGACCCAATGTTATGGAAGCTTAGTGCATGCTAAATTCCAATCTGCAGGACAGCCCTTTACTCAGCCACAGGTTCTGGTAAACAGAGAAATTACTGCTCAATAGTATAGTACATCAAACGGAGCAAATCCATATCCTGGGTTGATGGTGAACTTGAAATTACTGTTCAGCTGTAATGACCTAGAATCACCCTCTTTAATTATGCAAGCAGTAGGCAAAACCCACATTATATTCATAAGCAAGTGTGATTTTGGTTTGAAATCAAACATACAAGCATATTGAAAAAAGATAGCCATCTCTCCCCCCCTTTTGGGGGGGGGAGCTGCATCAGGAGGGTGAGTTGGAATTTGTTCACTTTTGCTTAATAATGGGTGATTGTTTTTATTTTTAAACTGTACATATTTATTGATTGGGAAATATTTTTAATCTTTTGATATTTATAATACTGGCCTGTCTCTGTACATAGTAGTTCACAGAAAAAGTGATCTTACATCTGTGTTGGAGGTCAAGCTGTACAGCATAGCCTTCCTGACGACACATTGGGTCCCATCCTCTGAGAACTTCTGCCCCTTAAAAGGAATGGCAACAGATACCAGAGTGCTTAGAGGCCACTCCCATTCATTTTGATGGAGAGCGCTTCAGAAGTTCCCTGCCTGGATTGTGCATAGTATGTTGTATGTAAATTCTTGCACAAATGTGAGGCAAGCATGCCATGGGAAATGGGTAGGAAGAAGAATGCTTTAGCTAAAATACGGTTGAGGGTCTAAATTGTTGCCAGTTTCCAAGGAATGCTGAAGTAGGCTTTTAGACCATAAACAAGCTAGGCTTCCAGTAATGTACCTGACACTATCCAGTCCTTCAACCTGTATGTTTTATTGTATCTTATCTTCCTGTTGGGGGGGGGGGACAACAATACTGATCCCACAACTGCAAATTCTTATTGGCTTGGCTGTTCACAGTAAACCAACAGCGAGAACTGCCCTTTGCCAATAGACATCTTGTACATACAGACCTGCCTCTCCCCCCAACCCAAGAACATTTGTATATTTTTATACAATTTTTTTTAAAAAGAAACATGGCCTTTTATCTTTACATAGTAGTAAACCACTTAAATTTCTAAACAGGTTGAAGAAATAAGCCCACGGTGTTGATCTGATCTAAGTGGATCATGTGTGTTAGAAAAACTGCTAAAGGAAAGGAAAGACTAGGTCCATGTAGCAGAATAAATCTTCTTGTACCTCCTGAGCACCCCCTCTGTCAGCATGTTTTCTCCAGCTCTTTCCTGGAGGCCTAGCAATGAAGTTGACAGACATCTTGGTAGCATTGAAAGGTTTCCGGGTCAGACCATCCCAAGAAGAACCTGTGTGACATCATGCTGTTCCTTCTAGAGGAAAATGGCTCCTTCCCCCACATCCTCCAGCCAAGGTGCCACCGTGTCTTTGACCCCTTCCCTTTCTCTTCCCTTCAGTGAACCTTCTGTCATTGCCACCCCTTCTGTCTCAGAACCCTCTTAAGAGTATAAAGAGAGAGTAAGATGGGCACAGTCCTGTGAAATTTGATCAAGGGTCTGCCTTGAGGGCCAAGAAAACAGAGCATGCACTTTCTCTACCAATAGTCCCAGCAGGTCAGGCTGGATCCTGATTGGAAGAAAAGTCATCAGGAAGGATCAACATGTAATATCTTTTGAATCATTTTGGCCTTATGGGTATCTGGGGTGATGCCATTTGTCCCAGAGGATGCTTTTAGGTGTAACACCTTCACCTTCCATGACACAGATAAGAGAAATTCAAATTAATTAGAGAACGTTAATCTCTTCACATGTAGCAAGTAAAGAAAACCTGTTCTCTCAAAGTGATCTATTTTAGCATTACACTGAGCAGGGATGGAATGAGGTAATGGGAAGGAAATAACTGCATTTTTCTGCCTTTCTGAGACTTTTATTGCTCTAGCAAAGTAAAACATTTCTTCCCACCCCTGCCCTTGGAAAATGTATGTTTGTGAATTTCCAGTGTATGTTTCTCCCCCACCCCCCCATGCAACTTTTCAGAGGGTTGTCAAGGTTTTCCTCTTCTTTACTTCTTCCTTCAACTGAAAAGAGATTGCCACAGAAGTTTTCCTTTGTATAGAATATTTATTTCGAAGCTCTATTTTAATAGTATTTATTTTAGAGGTCTACTATTGTAAGAGTTCTTCTGTTCGTGGAGAAAAACAAGTTAAACTGAATGTACTGATCTAGAAATTATATATAAAATATATATTGTTAAATATACCATGATCTTGTGACTTCTTTCTTGAATATCTTCTTTTGAATAGCTGTGCCAAATGGTCCATACAGTAGGAGGAGATATGCCTGGTGATTTACAGCCATAATTCCTAATTCGTTAAAAAAATAAATCTGCTTTGTAGGTGCACACATATGTTAAAGGAAACCTTTTCATTTTGCAGTTCTACATAACCCAAGAAGATAATAAACTTGTCTTAAGACCTTCTGAAGTGGTATTTTGTGGTCTCATCAACCAGTCAGAGAAAGTTCTGTTGGATTGCAGTAGTTAATGGCTCCAGCTATCTTGGGCTGTCATGAAATAGCATAAGGAGGTAGGGGGAATGAAACTTAACAAAAGTTTGTCATTACTTCTTTTGATTTCTGGTTATCTGTATGCCCATATATGTCATCTGAATAAATTTTCCAAAAGTCTTCTATCACCACTTCAAAGAAAAATGATGGACCATACCTTTCAGAGCTTCCATGGAATACAGACCAAAAAGTAACCTTTTCAACCTCCACCTCACTCTTAACACACTTCCTTTGTGTCAAAACACCTACAAACTACTAAAGGATTTTTGGGCAAACTTAAAACAAGGGGACGTCGACTCTGACAACTAAGCCATGCAATCTTTCATTTTTACAGCATATTTTTTAAGTTCAGATTTTGTGGAGATAGCCTGAAATATTTGTCTGGCTGAGATGAAGGACAAGATGGTAACCAAGGACAAGATGTTCAAGATGGCAGTTTTTTGTATTCAATTTACAGATAAGGATAACTAGTGGCAATTGACTTTATCCTCCACAGCATATGGAAGCAGTAGCCTAGCTCGAAAGGCAGTGTAATATGTTGCTTAGAGTGTTGGACTGGGGAGATCAAAATTCAAATCTTTCTTCACCTTGTTCATGGAAGCCACTAGGTGATCCTGAGGCAGTTACATTTAGCCCAATCAATTCCAAAGAGCTGCTGAAAAGACAAACTGGAGAAGAGGAGAACCATGTATTCTGCTGTGAGCTCAGTGAATGCAAAGCACGATGTAAAAAATTAACAAGGGGACACATAGTCCATACACAGCGCTGTACAGCACATTGATGCTGCTCCCTTCACTTTGCCCGTCTAGCATTTTCTTCCTGAGGTTACTTCACATGGTACCTAACTGGAGGGTCAGCCACAGATTTTTGAGAATGGCTTCTTCAAAATCTGGCATAGGTATCTTCATTTCTCCCTAAATCAGGCACCTGCACTGCTCCTGTTGTGGAAAACATGCCCTGTCAGGTTTAAAATGAGGTTTAACACCCTCCCAATCATCTGATTAAATCTATAAACTTGTTGAAGTTTCTTGTGTCTCTTTGGACATACAAGATTTACTGAATAGCCTGTCACATTGGTGACAGGCATCCAGGAAGCCCTCTAAAGCAAGGGAGGGAAAGGATGGAGTGGGGAAGCTGGGCCCACGCACTTTGAAAAAAGGGATTACTAAGCAAATGCAACAGTGGATCACCAATCGATGAAGAAGCTCTAGTAAAAAGAAGAAGAATAACTGGGATCACCAAATGGTGAAGGAGTGGGGAGGTGGGTGGCAAATCATTGTGGACTCCCCCCCCCCTTTGCAAGCCATCTAATTCTCATCATGCAGGAAAAGCAAAAAGTATAACAAAAGATATCTGAAGCCAAAGAGCAGGAGGGAACAAAAGATTGGAAACAGTAAAGAAATGAGAACGAATTTCTTTGAACAAAGCTTAGACTTTTTGTTTTGTTACGGAAAGGAAGCATCCTTTAGGCATGTCTTTTGAAAGAAGGCCTCCTGCCATGGTTGTTGCTTTGTCTATTTTAGGTTCTGAATATTCAAATACTAAGATGAGCAAACAGGAATGATAAAACAATTAAATTGTGAACAAATTCTTCAAATGGCTGCATTTCCATGAGAGCCTAGAGTTATCTGCCAGCAAGCTACTATGTTCAACTGCCTGTGTGATATAGTGGACAGATTGACAGGCTCAGGAAACCTAGGTCGAAATCCTTGCTTGGCTATGGAACTTCATAGGGGCCGGGGAGGGGGCAGCAATGATAAAGCCACTCCTTAAACATTTCACATACCTTGAAAACTATATTAGGGCCCCCATAAGTTGAATGAGATTTGAAAGCCCATAACAAACAATCAAACAAACAACTCTGCATGGCCAAAAGCAGCGACTTCTCCAAGGGAAAGGCTTTGACCACTTGCTTTCCTTGCCACTCCACCCAAGAGCTTTGGACAAGAGGAGCAACCTACAGTTGTGTAGCTTTGCAACACCCGATGTCTTGAACGGATCTCACATGGATCGCAGCCTCTTTTCAGCCCTTGGCAAGTACAGTATTCAAATCCAGTCCCTGCCTGCTAAATGGGAAGAGAGGACAGGCTGGCAGGGAGCGAGAGAGGACAGTGGGAACCAAAAGAGAAAAGGCGTCATCCACATTCACGGCTGAATACCAAGTTCAACATTGTAACTGAACCTGAGGTGATCTGAGTAGCAGCTTGAGAGATTCAGTTCAAACAGGGCTGTAGCTACATATAAATAACTCCTTTAGAAGGTGTGTCACTTCTCTTAGACTTCCAAGATCAGTCCAGCAGCATGGCCTGCCACCACTGGGAAAGACCATGCAGCCAGTTGACCAAGCCAACATGGGAGAGCAGAGGAAATGTGGATGGTACGACAGGTGCCAGGAATCTTAGGAGCAGTAATTTGGTGAGGTACTTGGAATTCTCTGCTGTAGTCCTGGAGTGAGTACCAGACCTCCCTAGTGCAGAATGTGAAGTTCCTCACTGAACTACCGATCCTAGCATTCCAGAGGATGGGACTACAGCAGTTAAGTGGAATCAAACTGAAACAGTAGTGTAATGTGGATTCGTCTGGGACATTTGACATTGCAAATGGATAGTATCTGGAGGAAAGGTACTACCTCACCAGAGCCACCCTAATTTCCCCCATTTCCTTCCTCAGACCATGCAGCCTCCACACCCACCCTACCCTAAATTGCCTTGAAACCTGCAGCCATGGACAAAGAGGATTAATGTACGGCAACAGCTTCGTGACTGGGCCAGAGGAAAAGCCCAAGCCCTTTTTACCAACTCTTTCTCACTCCCCCCCAATCACTGTAGTTGAAAAGTTTGTTCTTCCCCAACTTTTAATAAAACAATATCTACATGGCCTGAGGCACGTGCAATTTTCATAATTTATGGGTCTGGGAGACAGGAAGAGAGCTTCCAAGTTTCATTGTGTTTTGCTGGCTAAATGGCATTCCAATTGTCTACCTATCATTCTTTCAGGCACTGCTCTCTGGCAGGAGGACAAGGCCTGCTGGAAACCCACCGGTGCCCTGCTGCCCTCAAGCAAGGGATAAGGATGAATACATCTGCATGTGTTAAGCAGGAGATGAATGAAACAGTCTCCTCTTTTCCCCACATCATTAGAAGAACCCGTCCTGTATTGACACCTATATTAACACTCCAGCAATTACAGGTCTGAAATAAACTTTGTTCAGATTCTTCCATTAAAAATAAATCACATTTGCATTCTCTCTCAATGACTACAGGCTTGAAATAAACTTTGTTCACATTCTTCTATTAAAGATAAATATAATCTACATTCCGTTCCATATATTCAGCTCTTCTGAATATATGTAAATCCCTCTAGCAATTCCCTGCCTCCTCACTGGGTCTGGAGTTTTAATTTGTCTCCTTGACTAACCCAGAGCCTAAACTAATTGCTTTTCTAGACATGCAATGCTGAGAGCACGCATAAGCACACACACACGGGGGGGGGGGGGAGAAACACACACACACACAGAAGTAATATATCTAAGCTATGTGCAAATTATAGAGGCTTACACAGTTTCATATCACTGAATGATATAAAAATACCAATGAAGACATTGCTAGAATATGATCAACACAGCAATCCTATAAATGGTGCAAAGTCCCACTTGCCCACTTACTGTCAGATAAGAAAGTTAGGCTGCAATTGTATACTTTGTTGTAGTAGTTATGTGCCATCAAGTTGAAACAAACTTATAAAGACCCTAATAGAGCTTTTGAGGCAAGTGTGATATTTAAGGTGTGGTTTTACCAGTGCCACATGTCTAGTGAGTTTCCATTGGAGAGAGAGCTTTCAAACCAAAGCCTCCTAAGCCTTAATCTATCACTCTATACAAAACTATTCTATACATGTTTACTCAGAGGTATGCATCGCATCAAACTGGACTTAAATATGAATGCAGGAGTTACAAGCTTCCACACATAATCACCTTAAATGAACAAAAGTGATCACATTTGTGTTTCCAAAGCTAAACTAAATTTCTGGGTAATTAAAGGCCTTTTCATCATCAGTTTGCAACATCTGTTACTCAGAACCCCTGATTATCTTCTAAGGTTAACATTTAAGATTTTAGAAAGTTGTGAACTGCTGGCTGCAAACTGCTTTCAGAGTGGTAGCTGTATCTGTTCAGCAGCAGCAACAAAAAAAAAATATTGGGACACATCAGAATAACCCACCTATTCCTCTGAAAATTTTCCTGGCTACAACCCACTTCTTCAGGATATGGTGGTCCAAATCCCATTGCATAATTACGCCAGCAGAAAAGAAATGGGATACCTCACAGTGGACAGTAGCGACTTCTTAATGAGTCCCCACTTAGATTCCTGGCTAAATGCCAGTCCACCTGACCAGCACACAGAAAGAAATCACAGCAGGGACTTGTTAACCAGTGGCCATTTGCCACTGCAAGTTACACCATTTATCTTCTGCTAGCATAACAACACAAACAGGCTTTGGACCAGTGTGTTCAAAGAAGTGGATTCAAAGCTTGCACTGAAATAAATTAACAGTGCCACAACATTTTCTCCTTTTTGCTTTTGTGATTTTAAACTGATAGGCTGTAAAATAAACTTTTACAGTGAATTTTGCAGTGAACTTTTTACAGTGAACTTTTACGCTAGAAAACCTATAAGCAGGCAAGAGGAGAAA